TAGAATCCGGGGCATAAATAGACGTAGCCACGAGCGCCGAGCCAATTCAGACATAGGGTATATTAACATGCAGGGTGGTAGGAACAGGCTGAAGTGGGAAGAGATAGAAGAACAGCTAAGGAAAGAGAGGCCGATGGTATACGGTTTTGTAGAAACACATCTCAGGGACACGGAACAACCTCCGAACAATCCGGACTACGCGTGGGAATATTGTAATAGAACTGAAGGCAGCAGAAAGGGGTTGGTATTGGGGCATTCATTCATAAGAGTACAGATTGGCAAATGGTCAAGCAGGAGTGCAAGGAACATTTATGGCTAAAAGGAAAAGTCGCAAGTCAAATGACACTCCTTCGTTTCGTGTACTTGTGGACGGGAGCAAAGGCCACAGAGGAAAACCAGGCAATTGTAGAGTGTATATCAAAGGACATTCAGGAGTTAGGAAGAGAGTGCGAGATAATTATACTAGGAGACATGAATGCGCACATAGAAGAGATAGATGGGTATACAGACCCGACAGGCAAAATGATCATGGATATGTGTGAAAGGCTTCATTTGATCATTTGCAACAGTATCGAGAAGTGTGGAGGGCAAATAACATGGGAGGTAGGAAGGCTGCAGTCGACGATAGATTATGCACTGATGTCACATAAGTTGAATGATAAGCTCAGGGGAATGCATATAGATGAAGGTGGCTCCAGAAGTCTGGGTAGTGATCACAAACGTATCAAGCTAAGTTTTGGAAGAGCAGTGAAAGTGCGAAGGAGACAAGATGAGCAACTACAGGAAAATTTTTAATCAAAAAGGCAAATTGAAATAGCCACTAAACAAATTGAGAAAGTAATGGCTGAGGATAATAAAACAGTGGGGACATACACGAATCTAATTATACTGTTTGAGCTGGAGCTTTCTAAGGCACGTGACAAGTCAACCCGGTAAAGAAGACACAAACCCAAAAGTTGGTGGGATGAGGAAGTTAAGAGAGCCATAGGAAAACAAGCCTCTAGGGAACGCAGACATGCTAAGCAGTGGGGTGAACCGACAGATGATGTTGAAAAAAAAAGGGAAACCTTTCTAAGCTGTAGAAGGGATGCATCCATTCTGATCAAGGAATTGATTAGAAGAAAGGGAGCTCAGTGGCTGGCAGAAGTACATAAAAAAGATAGAAAGGCAGCTGCGAAATTTTGGAACCATCTAAACTCCATTAGAAAGAAGACAAGCCTGGAGCAGAGGTTTATAACTACAGCTCAAGGTGCTAGGCTAGAAGGGGACCAAGCATTTGAATATATAAGAACCAGGGTGACAGAAAAATTTCAACAAAGAAGTACTTTATGCACCACAATAGACAAGGACGAATGAACTGGTACAATGGCTCCATGTTCACAACAAGAGTGGGAAAGGGCTGAGAAAAGGGTTCCTAGTAGTACATCAACAGGCCCAGATGGCATTCCAATTATGCCGATAAAGACGTTAGGTCCAAAGTCTATACAACCATTGAGAGAGGCAGTGAGCAAAATAATAATCGATGGAGAAGTTCTTGATGGATGGAAGCTTAGCAGGATGAGCACGATCTATAATGTAAGGGGGGACAAAGCTGACATAAACAACTACCGTCCCATAACAGTGACATCAGTGGACTACAGGCTGGCGATGCAGATTATAAAAGAAAGACTGCAGGGTTGGATAGAGGATGAGGGGGTGCTGGGGAAACTGCAGAATGGGTTTCGGAAAGATAGGAGGTTGGAAGACAATCTGTTCTCACTGACATAGTGCATCAAAATAGCAGAAAAAGAACACAGGCCCCTGTGGCTAGCATTTTTGATATCAAGGGAGCGTACGATAGCGTGGTTCAAGAGGACTTGTGGGGAATACTGGACACACTAGGCGTGGAACATGTAGTCACTAATCTTTTAAAGGATATCTACAAAGGTAATAAGGTAATTATAAAGTGGAAAAACAGGTATCCAAACCTGCAGCGGTAAAACGGGAACTTAGGCAAGGGTGTCCCCGGTCACCCTTATTATTCATGATGTACCTACAAGGATTATAGGCCAAATTAGAGGGAAGTGGACTGGGCTTCAACCTCTCTTTCATCAAACAAGAAAAACTTATTGAACAGGCACTACCAGCATTGATGTACGCAGATGATATAGTGCTAATGGCCGACAACAAGGAAGATTTGCAGAGATCGGTAGACATCTGCGGTAATGAGGGAGATAAGTTAGATTTCAGATTCAGTAAGGAAAAATCAGCAGTCATGATTTTTAATGACAATGAAGGTAGTCAGCTTAAAATAGAAGAGGCTATGCTAGAAATAACAGATAAATACAAATATCTGGGCGTATGGATAAGCAATGGGGCCGTGTACCTAAGGGAACACGGAATATACGTGTCGAGTCGACTAAAGGTAACAGGAATGCGGCGGTAATGAAAAACAGGGCACTGTGGTATTACAATAGGTATGAAGTTGTGAGAGGAATATGTAAGGGGTCATGGTTCCTGGTCTGACGTTCGGCAATGCGGTCTTGTGCATGAGATGAGAAGTTCAAGCAAGATTAGAAATTAAGCAAAGTGGAATAGGTAGGCTTGCGTTAGGAGCTCACGGGAATACACCAAATCAGGGAGTACAAGGTGATATAGGATGGACATCATTTGAGGGCAGGGAAGCTAGCAGCAAGATAAAATTTGAGAAGCGATTGAGAGAATTGGGGGAGGAGCATTGGGCTCGGAAGATATTCAGTACTTGTACATGAAGAATGTCAATACAAAATGGAGGAAGTGAACCAGAAAATTGACTGGTAAATACTTGGAGAACAGCAGGGGGCCTAACCAAAAAGAATTATCGGTTAAGAAGAAGGTGAAGGAAGCTGAGACCGATATGTGGAAAATTGGCATGATTAAGAAGTCCGCACTAGAGATCTATCAAAGTTTTAAGCAGGAAATCGCCAAGGAACAGATCTATTATAATACTGGGGTTAGTTCTTTAGTGTTTGAAGCCAGGGCGGGAATATTTCGAACCAAGACATATCGGGCCAAATACAAAAAGGTAGACATGGTATGCAGTGCGTGTGGAGAGGAAGAAGAAACTGCCGAACACTTGATAATGTTCTGTAAAGGGCTTCACCCTATAGTTCAGGATGATGGCGCAGAGTACTTCAAAGCACGGGGGTTTAGGGACAGGGAGGGCAAAATAGACTTTAAGCGGGTAGAATTAACTATAAGGAGGTCATCTGATTGGTGGCTAAAGTCAAGGCACGAGTGAAAATGAAACCCTTCACTTTAAAGTACGAGTCCTTCACCTCACTAGTTAAGGTAAAAAAATGAATCTAGTTTTTAGTTCATTAAGTATTACGGCTTGGTGGCACTAGCCACCACCCGATCTAAAGGTTACAGCCATATCGATCCATCCATCCATCCATCCACATACGTACTGAAGTTGAGTGAGGATATTCTAGATGGCGCTGTACCGCTACTCTCCGATTGGCTGCTACGCGGGCTGTTCTTGGGTACACGGAGAACGAGTGCCTCTCTCAGTCTCCTGCATAGTCGCCGTAAGTTGCGTATCGTTGGTGGGGCATGGACGAAGCAGAGGGGCGGGCGTGTTGAAGATGCTCTCGCTCGGCTTCTTTGGCACGCATCTCGTCGGTGTTACACGCGCGCCGTCTGCATTCTCAAACGGACGCATGCATGGACGAACAGACGGATGGGTGGACGGACGCTTCGCCCCACACATCATCATTCACTTCGTGGATATGCTGTGATTTTTTTCGTTCAGCTCAGCTAACACCAAACTCGTTAAGAGAAGCATCATTACACACTGCCTAGAAAGCGATATTAACGCATCGTGTGAACACTGTGTAATGGACAGCCAAGGAAGCAACTCTCTCAGCTCTAGGAAGCCGGCTACCTGGTGCCCGTCCACGTGTCAGTCACCGAGGTCCTGATAAAGAATTACTGGCCCGCTTATCAATGTCGTCGTTCCAACGCAGATGTCACACAAAAGAAAAGAGCTGTTGTGCCGTACATGCACTTGATCGCACAAAAAATAAAACGCGTTCCGTCACGGGCTGATGTACAGGTAGTTTTTTCCCTCCCCGTACACGCTAAATTGATTTTGCAGACTCAGTATTCCAGCAGCACACAATCTTTCGGCCTGCGAGATAAGGCACAGGGTTCAGCTCATGGAATGTAGAGTAGCGGTGGTGTATTAGATTACCCTTACTTGCGGAGAGAAATTCGTTGGACAGACAAGGCACTGTTTAAATGACAGGTTGCGAGAGCACTTCAACCTCGTAAAGAAGAATGTGGATGGCTACCTCGCGACACTGCAGAGCTTAAGGGTGCACCCGACTTTTTTTTATAAAACACCAAAGTGTTATTAGCAAACGGTGATGAACTCGCCGTACTAATAGTAGAAGCAGCCAATATCGCAATGTGGGGTGATGATAGTGCAAGCACGGCATCCTGTCAGAAAAAAAATGCATCTTTAGAACATGCATTAGTTTTATGACTTTGTTTCACATTTCTTGTCAAATAGAGAATTATGAGATAAAATGCTCTTATCTGAACATCTCCTGTAAAAAACATAATAACGAAAAATTGCATCTCTGTGCATGATAAGTGGATGTAGCGTGTGAGCATCACCACTGTATACGTGATTCGGTCGCAACATATCATTTCGTAGGAAGTTGGCGCACCCATAGTGTCCGGCATTCTCGTACGTGGGTTTCTTTGCGTTAAATATTGACTCAAAAAAATCAGTCGCGACATTCCAGAATCGCTATTTAGCAGCCTGTATACACAGAATTCTGCTATGTTAATTTGTTTCCGTATTTTTTTGCGACATAACAACACGCTAAAATGTTCTTTGCAGGACGTTAGAGATACTAACACCAGATGACGTGGCCATTGGAGGCGGCAACGTGTCGTTTTTCTTCTTCTTTTCATTCGTTTTCAACGTCTTAACCACGGGAGCCACTATTGTGCTTCTCAAGTCTGCAAGCATGCCGCACCTTTTCGAGGCTTGTAATCATCACAAGGTGAGGATGGAGATTGACTTTTTATTTAAGTGCGTCGAAAGGGAGGTTGCAACCTGTGTGTGACTGGCACTATTTTTTTCTTAGAGTCAAGTTCTGATCGTGAGCTCGACAATAATCACAATAATGACACCGAAACATAAAATTGCGCCGTAAGACAGCCAATTCCAGTGCTGCAATATATGAGTCCATACAACACCAATGTTCACGAATCATACCTGCTCACACTCGTAAAACGACTATCATGATCACAGAACTGTCATGGTGACTTTAGGAGTTATTAATTAGGCGCAGCTTGTTTTATTGACACCGACGAACTCTGATTACAATGCACTATCTACGCTGAGAGCCCACAGCGTCATTACTTAAGAGCTACGGAGATCTATTGCAAAACTAGTGAGATCTCATTTAATTTTGTTTTTCGTACTTTTTATTTTTTACGAGGCGACAATGGGCGCCCAGTGTAGTTATTCAAAAATTAAGGGCATTTTGCTAAGATTATTTACTCGTCCGATGGAAGGTTTGTCTTCACCGCACCATCTGTTCATTTCTCAGCAAGGTGCTTAAGTTATTGTTCAGGCTCAGTGGTAATATGCTAGACGGGTAATGGACGTGAAACTGTCTACGAGAATTGAATCAATGCCTCCGTCAGGTGGGAAGTGTCGGCTGTATTTGGACTAGGAAGGCAGAGAGGTCCTCATCTTTTTAAACTTATGAGTATTTGTACCTACTTTGTGAACCTGCACTGATAAGAGAGGAAACGCTCAGAAAATGGTGCCAATACTTCACAAACTACCACACAATTTGGACGGCATAGACGATCAGCATATGGGTAGGCTCAGCATTAGGACCATTGGAAACCTTGACAAACGAACCCGAAAGCTTAAAATTGACCGTGCATTTGCAAGCTGGGTATACGCAAAAAAGCTTACCGACCAGCTCAAAAGGATAAACTTTCCAAGAGGCAGACTTCGATGCAGAGAAACGAAAGAAACTGGTACAGCAGTACGACAAGTGCTTAAAGCTCATGGTGATTATGCAGAAAAAGACACTATGGTTGTACTTAGCTAATCTTCTAATAAGAACTTTTACTAACGAATTTTTACTTTCGGGCGACCAAAGGCCCTTACTTCTCATGGTAATCGCAGAAGCTGATGGAACGTAATAAATTTAAAGGGAGTGTTTTAGCAGCAGTTCGTTTACCGGGTATAAGCCCTTGTTTCTGCGGCTCTGTTTTACTCCCATTCTTGCTTCCCACGGTTTGGGCTAAGCGTAACGTGCATATAAAAAAACGGGCTTCGATTAATACATGGCTGCTAAGAACGAGATTACAATTTTAGTAAAGATCAGAAACATGGTCATGATCAAGAGGATCAAAAGTCTTGCAGAATATCGAAGCAAGCTCTTTAGCACGTACAACTGTATTGCAGTGGTTTTTTAAAGAAAGATGCGTCCAATGAAAAAAAAACAAGAACTGAGACTGATATCAGATTTTCTATTCGTCATATGTATTGAGGAATATAAACTCATTCGTATGGATAACGTTATCCACATGTATATATGTCATGGTGACGTTGTGGAATAAGCAATTGTTCTTGTCCCTTCGTGTCGTTATTGTGTGCGGCATTTCTATTTTTTAGCTAAATCCTGTCATGATTTTTTTTCACTATCAGGTGAACCTAATAAATGGAACCCCTCAAAAGCTGCTCAAAATTGCTGAAGCTGCAAAGGCAACCGGCACGACCTTGCCGACGGTCAAGAAACTCCGCACCCAAGGAATTTTCCTACCCGAGCGCATAGCGGCCGAGGTAGTGTCCGTCTTCGCGCCTGACGAGCTGCGAGACTGCTACGGTATGACCGAAGTGAGCGGCTTCCTGGCTGTGCCACCCAAAGGAGAACTACCACAAGGAAACGTAGGATTCCCAGTCTGCGGTACAAAGATGAAAGTCAGTTCCTATTTTACGAGTGTCACTATCTTCATGGTATACATCGAAGCAGCAAGAACTTGCCACTTCGATGCACAATTTGTTCAGTGCATCGATTTTGACAGTTCCGTTTAAGCTACCTGCGTACGAGTGTGCAACACTCTTGGCAAAAATGGCCCACCGAATCATAGCTGTGTTAATAGTTAAGTAACGTAAGGTCATGCATGAAAACTCGTGTTTTCATTAGAACTTGCACCAGAGAAACCAATGTGAGGACACAACATTATCATAGGGCATCTGTGAAGTATTCGTCTTATCCTATATCTACATTTTTTGTTATGTTCTTTAGTATATGTGGCCCTGCACCCGAATGTTGCCCGCTGAATTTCAAATAGCAAGTCGCTCCTTAAATTTCACACTGATATGAATGACAAAATCATTTTGGAGAAAGAAGTATCCAAACAAAACCTACTGAACACAAAAATTTTAAATAAAAGCAGACGACAAGAACCGCAATACCATTCCGTATTTCACTCACCCAGGGACGTGTCAGCCTGGTTTTTCTGGTTCTAATCGAATGCGACTTGAATTTTGCTGTACCTGAACACTAAAAAAACATGGTGGTATACGTTTCGGCCGTAGCACGGCCTTCGTCAGGAATCTGACTGTGTGTGTGTGTGTGTGTGTGTGTGTGTGTGTTTCGGGGGGGAGTGTTTGTTCTAAAGTATATTCCCTCTACATTTTGGGCGGGAAAAATTATGACCACCACATCTTGAAGTTTAAGAAAATGCTGGCAAACCAGGCACGAAAAGCAATTCCCTATATATTGGCTGTATCACGCATTATTTTATTCCTTGCTTTTTTTTTGTTTTCACGGCAACGTGCTTTTTTATTGTAAAACAGTTGTTGGTGAGAGCTTGAAAATTTTCATTCTCTAGAGCACAGAGAAAAATGAGTAAATTGTAGTGTTTTTGAGAATTTGTCTACAAAACACGACAGTCAATAGAATGCACAAATTACCTATGTCACACTCTCAATAAAACGTACTATATGCAAACATATCCTGGTGTGTGGTGCATAGGCTCCAAAATAAAATCCTGCACTTGGCGAAAACGCCACTTTGGTTCAAGTTGAGACGCCCGTATAGCATCCTAAGGTGGTTCAAGAAAACATCAGGAGGAAAACGCGTGCATTCAGAATAATGGTGACATTGTTCTAGGATTTGAAAAAAACCTGTTTGAAGTTCAGTCCCATTATTACATTCCTTTACTAAGATGGCAGTACAAGCCAACTGAATTCGCTGAATAAAATATAGTGGTGTGCTTTGCTACCACGAAGTACCACGCGGTAGCAAACCAACTTTTGATAGATGTGGTCGTATAGCATGCCTCAGAAAGCTGTGATTGTTGAATAGGCTTACCATTGCAAAGTTCTCTATGACCGCGACTGAATAAGTGAACGCACTTTCGGTGACAGTCTAGTCATATAGAGCTTCACAAATGGCATTATTACCTTCAGTCCTCTTTGGGCCCCTTTTTAACTGCTTCAAGAATCCAGTAGCTTTCTTCGCATTTCCCTAGCACTGTCTCCTTGAATACACTGAATGCGCATTTGATTCGCATCACTTTTCACGTGGCTTACTTTATTCACAGTTTGTTGCACGTATGCGATTCTGCTCCATGCCTTGCGCAGCACGAATGCAGTAAAGCCGAACAATTTAAAGTTCTTGTACGCGCCACGTTGTCGGCAGGCGCGATGCCCTAGAGCCTTATAGCTGCAGCTATGCTGCAAAACTGTAAGCTTGTCGAAACGCGTGTGAATAAGTGCATTGTATGCAACCGCAATTAGCCGACAAAAACGCGATTAAAACATCGTGTTGTATTGGTGTCTTGCGCGTGAAGAATGTATTTGCTGCTAAGTCTGTAACGCAATGGCAGACCAAAGCGCAACTCTGCGCTCTGCGCCCTGCGGAAGCATGCACAATGACACTTGTGTAGACCACTTGACAACTCCTACTGTGTCAGTTGCGCAGAAATCGAAACGGTTAAGCAGAAATCGGCACTCTTTTTGCAGCTCTACCAAGTGGTAAACACATTACCACTTGTGAACTTTTCGTACCGACTACATTGCAAGCGTGCGCAACGTAATGTTTATTTCTAGCCAAGCAAAACGCCAGCATATTCCCAGCATGCGCCACAATTCTTAAAGCGGACATTCTCGGTGTACGACGCCGCAGTGGACGATCTTTTGAAGCCAATAAAAATATCAAGCACTTTGTCCTCGCTGCTCTCACTCCACCGCGGTGAACTAAGGGCTAAGGTACTTTGCTGTGGGCCCACAAATCGTGGGATTGAATTCCAGTGGTGGCTGCATTTTCTATGGATGCGAAAATGCTGGAGGCCCGTGTGCTCAGATTGGGGCGCAGGTTAAGGCTTGTCAAAGTGATTCCCCAGGTGACGGGAATGTCCGGAGGCCCCTACTACGGCATGTCTCATAATCAAACTGTGTGTGGTTTCGGGACATTCAACCTTACATATTAATCATTCTCACCACTCTCCCCCGTGACACGGCAGTAATAAAACTATAGCTACAAAACTGCCGATAAAAATGTCATGCCTAATTTGGGACACCGGTGTTCCTTTCGAATGTGCAAGCCTAGAGAATACTCAAAAGACAAAAGAAAAACTCGGGTATTGTAAAACAGCGTCATAAAGCTAAAATAGATGCTGTAAGGTTTCCTTTGCCTACAAGTTTAATTCGGTGTGATCTCTGTCTACATCTGTAATCGTGTTCGATAATACACTTCAAATCAAATCCACCCTTTTTTACGCAGGTAGTTGATCCCTATAACAAAACTGTGCTGAGTCCAATGGAAACTGGTGAAGTACTCTTTCAGTCTCCATACGTAATGCGTGGTTATTACAAGAATGATGAAGCTACGAGAGACTTCATCGACCCCGAAGGCTGGATACACACAGGTAAGCTACGTGAATAGTTGAGTTTCAATTTGAAAATCCCCACAAGGTGGGCTTTCTTACCGTATATATGCAGTAGTGTAGAATATCTTGACCACTCAAACAAAAAAGCAGTTACTAACGCGTTTTGTCTGGCTCTGCATTTAAGTATTTTATTGTAGCAAATATACCACTAACAAACCTGAGAGACAACAACGACAAGAAAAACAAAAGTAACATTAAGTGTTCTTTTTTACCTGTATTACAATAATTCTCACCTAAATTACACACAACCAAAAATAGGATTTTTTTCTCTAGGTTTCATGCTCAACGCCATCAAGTATTCAGTAGTTTTCGAACATATGAATTACCAGAGTGAATATTGGGAGCTCTAATACCTGAACGGGGGAAGAACTAATCGTAGCTTAGCCATAGTAAACAGATTAAAAAGCCTATTTGCTTAGGACAAGATGAATCGCTCAAGCAGTCGTAATTCGGAAGATATACGTTCACCAACAGTTCATGTAAGACATGCAGTGAGGTTCATTGCATTAACTGGTGCTAAGTGGTAGTGCAAATGAGAATCTTTTATGCAATTGAACTTGCATATGTGATGTATCGCTGTACTTCGAACACTTTCAGCACAAGCTAAGGTGACAAGCGAATCACCAAAAAGTATTGCTGGTTTCTCGAATCCGTTGTAGAAATCCTGCTTTATACTGCACTATAAAAAATTCCTCTCGTACACCTACAAGACTGCACTGTGCGGCTACCGGCACGTGCTCACAAAAATTCATGTTATTAGCTTACAATATCACTGCGTGGCCCTTCATGGGGATGAGAGTATATAGTGGGATATTCGGAAGAGCGTCTAGGTAGATTGAAGAAGACGATGAATTACGTTGTCTCGCTGTGGGGTGCCTTGCGAAGTCGGGGATATGTATGTATGTTCATAATGTGAAAAGTCGCGCACCGACCTACTGTCTATGCATTATTTTCGCTGATCTGCGTGGTAACTTTAATTTTTGATGACGGAGCTCAGACGCGGGCTCCCCCTTGTGTGTCTCTTCGCGTCGTTCCTATGTTGATATAAACATGCAATGACTTTCAGCACATAGCACTTAAATATACTTGATCTTTACATGTCATGAAGGCTGTATTGTAGGAGTAGATATGTCATGTCCATAAAATTGGATAGCCATCGCTGCATCCCCTATTGACGCTTCACGATCATCACGGTCAGTTTCAAAAGCAGTTGCAAGATCTGGTGTCGATCCGCGGAGGAATGCTTGGTTGCCACGCAGAATGCTGGTGTGATTCCTGTTGGGACCATGGCATTTTTCAAAACGATAGTCTTTCTTGGGAACCTTCGACGCAAAAGTTGTAGTGTCTGTCTGTGTGTCTGTCTATCTGTACATTTGTCTGTTTGTCTACCCTTAACGGTGTCCTAAACGGCACCGAAGTGGCCAAACAATACTCCAAGCGGCCGATCCCATCCGTAGCACCCACCAATATTGCTCAAGATTCAGCGTTCATACTTGTGTGATTGTCAATTAAAAAGCAATTATTGCGCATATCTGAGGCACCATACAAACACGTCAATATTCTGTATGTGTGCCTCTGACTAGAAAAAGTATACATAAGTAATTATAAAGACCACAGCAATTATCGCGTTGCACCAACCAGGCAACGCTTGCACAAAAAGGCAAGTGTTTCCGACGCTTTGCTCAGACGACACGGTCGTGGCACCTACCCGTCGCCTTGCGTCCTACACCTTATCACCTCCGAGACGAGTGCTGTTGCGAAGCGCGCCTCCGACGACGTTACGAAGGGCGCCACGAAATCCCACCGCTGCAACCACTGTGACGAAAGACGGCGACGCCAACACGCTCCCGAAGGCGCCACTGCTTCGAATTCCGCCGGGAAGGTCACCAGCCGTTTGGTAGCGTAGGTTTCTCAGCTCGCGACTTCTTCTGCGCAGAGTTGATAGACGAGCGGACGAGACGACAATGAGTTAAACAAGGTTTATGTACAGCATATACACAGAGGCATTACGAATTCGGCACTGGGGCCGACAGCTTAGAGACCCGAAGAGCCGAGCTCTCCTCTCTAATACCTAGTTCACACATAAACATCCGCTTTCTACAGCGACCAAAATTCCCCTGCCGCCGAAACGCAGCGTCGTTCGCACTGGACGCGCCCCGCACCGCCGAATATGCCATCTACTACGGGGCAAAAGCGGGGTGGATGCGCTGTCACCCGGTTGTTGTCGCGGCTCGCAAACGCTACTACGCTATCCGGCGGTGTATACTTCGACAACTCTCGTACGCAAAAAGCAAGAAAAAACAGTACTGCTTACTTTGCTGACAAGTGGTTGTCTTGTAATGCACGAAGAGCAGAAAAACCACCGACGCCAGCGGCGTCGGTGGGTTCGTTTTGCTCTGCAAAACCACAACAAGCTCGGTCACGCCAACAGCAAGCTCTTTCACGAAATACGGAGGCGAAGTAGGCTCAGAGTAGGTTAAACTCCCGTTGGTTTCAACATTCAGTTATGGGCACTGCGGCAAAACAAGTGAGTAGGGCTTGGCCGCCATTTTTCAAAATTTCTTGACTGGCGCTCCTATTGGTCCACGGTGACCGATTCGGTGGCAGACGCCGCAAAAATCAGTCCGAGAGCGATAGGCACGGAGAGGGCCCTTTCGGCGGATCTAGCCGCCGCCGAACCGGATTCGGAGCACTTTCAGCGGCAGAAATACTGAGTGTGATCGTGGCCTAACACATAGGTCTACTGCTCGCGGCACACCACAGCGCTTTTTTATATGCACCGGGTGGATTCTTTGAGTAACCATATGTCCAACCAGAAGCGCCGCTGGTCGTGAGGTCAGAATCCTCCAATAGAGTCGCCGCCGGGCCGCGTCATTCTCATCAAAACTGGAGCCGCTGCGCTGCATGTGGCTGCATCCAAGGACGAGTGACGTCGCCACGCATTGCGTCAGACTCGCCAGACAGGAAGGCACCGATTGCTTCGACAGGCTCGCTGGCTGAGGTGACTCACTGTGCGTGCGCGCCAGAAAGGCACCGTCACAGGCACCGTCGCGTGATGTTGCCGTTGAGTTGTTCGCGTCAGGCGGGCTCGCGTGCTGGCCTTGACACAGATTTCTTTTTTCAGAAGCATGGACGTTCGCTGTGGACTCGCGGGCATAACAGCACCCCCGCTGCCAGACAATGCGCCGGAAAGACGAGCTGCTTCCACGTGGCTCGGATGTCAGGCGCGCTCGTTCACCAGGTCCCTCCAGGTTCGCCTCCATGGCCAAGGGGAGAATGCAGCTCTAGACTCTGTTCCGGTAAACCATCCCATTCTTGAGGACGGATCCCTGCTCCACTGGCTTGTCACCACAACTTGTCGGCCAGCTTCGCTCGTCGCTTCTGGCGATCTTTGGTCTCAGCACTTGTCGATGGTTCTGCAACTTGTCAAGAACGGATCGACAACAGACAACACACGACACAAGCAAGTGCCCCCGGTCACCCGACAGAACACCAGACAAAGTATATTACAACATATACCTAGCTACGTGTTCATCGAAATTTTGTTCCCTCTACATCAAGAGGCTCATGTGGGACACAAGACTCTTAAAATGAGAACTCAAATTTTTACACGTACAACAACGTAACGAAATATAATAGAACAAAAAGTTGGCTCCTTGAGCTCACTCTGGACGAGAACGCTCAGCCAAGGCCGTGATGAGGACAAAATTTTGCCCAGAATCGCCAGCGAGAAAGCGAAAGGTGGAGAAGGTACTAGTTAGAACGCACGGCTCAATGAGCCTGCATTAGCGTTTAGCTTTCCTCTTTTTTAGCGAACGTCAAAGTTTGCTGTTGGAGTATCAAGCTCAATCTCAGTAACGGGCCACTTTTAGGCGACGATACCAATGCAGTACCAAGAGCGGCTCATACTTGCGACGTTGCACAGGGAAACAACGATACGGCTTGCTACGGATTGACTCCTCACCAGTTAGCTCGATATCGTGTTCGATCACCGTCGTGTTTCCGGGACGATCCGAAAACACGTCGTCAAACTCGGAAAGAATCCTTCTCAGGTCCTCCTTCTAGACTTCACTTAACCTAGGCTCTAGGTTCAACTGCTCCAACATTACTTCCGATCACCTTTCTATTACATCTCTAGAACTCAAAATTTCTGTTCCCTCTTCCTCTGAAGCATTCAACAGCAGATTTATGACCGCTTGACGTTGAATGTGTGGTTTCATCAAGTCACTGTGGTAAATTTTGTTCGGCCACCTACCTAATTTAACTTCATAATTGGTATCAGAAAGCTTCATGGGTGCCTCCCATTTTTCCACGGATGTCCCCGCTCTCTGACAAGTGACGCATGAGCGTACAAAGTCTTCGATATCCTTCCAGCATTTCGGCCAATAAAACTCAAGGGAAACTCTAGTCTTGGTCTTTTTTATGCCTAGATGCCCGGCCCACGCGTTTTCATGTGCCAGTTTCAATGATTGGCGACGATACTTTTGTGGCACCACGAGTTGCTCATATTTGCGACCTCGCGCATTTGTGTAGCTCCAATATAGGAGCCCTGCTTTCTCAAAAAAAAAAGAAACATTCTTGTTCTTTTTTCCCAAGTTTACGCTTTCCATTAGCGCTTTAATCGAGAGGTCCTCACGCTGCTCTCGAATGAGCGTTACTCGATCAACCCTCGACAGCTCGCCCCAACTTTCCACTACGGGCGATACCGTTGCATCCCTCTCGCTCTGACTCAATGGCGCCATGTCGTCTCCTCCTGCTACGGAAACCGCGCCAGTAGCTTCGGCGACGGGCCGCTCGAGTGACTTCTCAAATGACTCACATTGAGAATTCCGTGTCTGAGGTTACGTCGACTCGCCGCCAAGGTCACACAGATCTGCTGCTTTTGAACTTGTTTCACCACATTGAACAAGATCAAGCTCCCGCGAAAGCTTCTGTGCTTGCGATCGCGTGAAGGCCATGTACGCTAAGTTGGAGAAGAA